CCAGATTAAAAAACATTTTTCTGATGCCCTAATTTGATTAAAGGGGACCTATCATGCTATATTTGAATAATATAGTGTAGGACCAAAGGCATGTTTATACTTTTTATTTTTCGAAATACCAAACTTCTGCTCAATTGAACACTGTCTTTGCATCATGGGCTGATTCTGTGAGAACAGCACCATCTACAGGCCTGGCATATGTACTACAGCGTCTCCAGCGCTTTCCAACGGCAATGTCCGTGGCTGTCTCCTCCTCAGGCCCGGACTGGCCATCGGGAGGACCGGGAGGTTTCCCGACGGCCTGGCCTTTTAAGTGGCCGGAGGATTTTTTTTTTGTATGTATTGTGAACGCAACGCTGCGCAAATGTGGGTCTGACTCTGCCTCACAGAGGGTGACTGGCTGTCTACATGNNNNATTATAAATATGTTTTTTTCAACCAACTATTTATATAAGTATATAAGAAACTGGAAAATCTCACTATTTACAATATTGAACATCTGAACTTTCAACCAACTCTTCATTATAAATGTCAAGACAGTGTCAAGGTCTTTGTCTGTCTTCCAAAACAGTGGGTCTGGCTGCTGTGAAGATGGGGGTGATGGTGCATTGGCTGCTGTGTAGGTGGGGGGTACAAGTGCTATACGAGACCTCCACGAGACCTCCTTGCTGGCTGGGTTGAAGGTGATGGCTGTGGTGGAGCCTTTGTGCTGAGGTGTATCTTGACCTGGTGGCAGCCGCAGATGGAGGTGGTTGGCCATCGGGAGGACCGGGAGGCTTCCCGATGGCCTGGCCTGTTAAGTGGGCTGCTGGCCTGAGGAATTTTTTTTTGTATGTATTGTGAACGCAACGCTGCGCAAATGTGGGTCTGACTCTGCCTCACAGAGGGTGACTGGCTGTCTACATGATGTGGCCTGCCGACATGGCCACTTTCATACAGATCATACACTAATGCCCTCGATTGGTCTATGTGTGTCATTCAAGCTCGGGAGGGTGTGTATGTGTGGCGCAAGCAAGCGAGAGAGAAAGCGCGCGCACCGGTTACGTGTAGGCTATTGTTTTTATTAGCATCTGGTGCTAGCTAGCTGCACTAATGGATATAATGAGCTGTCAACAAGGTGGAGGAGAGTCCTCTCCTGTCAGACTGAGAGACTGATAACTACAGCTCAGGTGAGGTAAAGGACTCTCTGAGTGTTTAGATAGTTAACTTAGTCTAAGTTCTCAGTGGGTCTCAAACGGTTTGGTCACCATTTATGTAAACACATATTTCCATTTGAAGGGGGAGTGATTAGTAACATATGCATGAATAATACAAATTGTTTTTAACTAGCTGAAAAAAGGTAAGATAAACTTTAAAAACTTGTTGAGAGCTAAAACTAGTCTTTGCTGCTGCCTCAAAGAGGAGAAGGGGGATACGGGTGAGGCTGGTTCAGGAGCCCAGACAAACCACAACCATAAATGAACCAAAAACAAATAAACAAGTTTCAATGTTTTTTCATATTGGATATGGGATGTTATTGGTTATAGCCATGTACTTATGATTTTATGATTATTTAAATGTGTGCAGTTCTGTTTCATATGGGTGTAGACTCTTTATTTCCCCCTCAAAGTGCACCAGATTGATGCATTTAAGTCAACATTTAAAATAAATCTTACCGGGGGAATATGCCCAATCCGGATTGGATTTGAGTCCACCTCACTTAAATATGCTCACATGGATAGGTTCCTAAAGAGATTTGCACATTTTTTAAAATGGTAACCCATCTCCATATGTTATTTTTGGGTAGTAGATTTAAACTAGAGGGCCATCACTATGGGCAGCAACGCTGTAAATATTGACAAA